CAATACTCTTTTCTGAACAATACTCTTTTCTGAACAATACTCTTTTCTGAACAATACTCTTTCTGAACAATACTCTTTTCCATGAAAAATTTCGATCATTCACAAAAATTTCAGTCATTCAAAAAAACGATGCCCATCTCTACCCCCTCAACCTTCTTTAACTTATTGAATGAGATAAAAACAAATATCTTCTTTGAATAAACGATATCTTTACAGAATGTTTTCCTTAAAACATAAATCAGAAATTTCCTGTATGATGTAAAGTAATTTATGATCCATGTAAGAATACTGCAGGGTTACCCGCAAAGAATGAGACTTAAGCAACGACTTTAAATTACAGGATTCAATCCTACTCCCTTGTTTCGCTCCATTTCCTTTTTTCGCTCAATTTCCTTGTTTCACTCCATTCTTGGTTTGCGTTACTCCATGATTTTGCCTTTGCATTCATTCAATAATCGTAGGCTTTCAGGGGCTTGATTTTTAAACACGAGTGTAGTTAGCATTTTCTTTTTCATATTACTTAAGAATATAAAACTAGCCCTGTATATGATGTACATACAAAGAGAATAGAATATATATTAGAGGGGAATTTACTAGAAAAAAGTGTAAAACGGCCATTTTGTTGTACTGTTTCCATACTGCAGGAATACTTCACATATTTATGCTATATAACCTTTTGGGCCCTGGAATATCATTTTATAGAAAATCTAAAATTAATATTAAAAGAAAACAAATTATGAAATAGGCTGGTTTATAATTGACCAATGATCATTTAACATAGACTCTGTGCATTTCATTTTACAAACGATGATTTTTCGTTATAACTATAAATCAAATGATGTTTTTTTATTCACCTAATTCATTGTAAAGTTTATTTAACAGCTTTAAAAATTCGAAATTGAAATGGATAGTCTTGGGAACATACTGTATTAAAGTATTCTACTGCATATAATTTGTGAACATTTATATGAGTTGTACACTTTGAACTCCCTTTCAGGCTGAAAGGGACTGAAAAAATTCATACCGAGAGATTCCCTAAATTCCCCTATATATATTCTATTCTCTTTGTGTACATAGTACACTTGTACGAGGGGATTTTATTAACAACTTTTCTTAAGACTTTTTTTCCGCAGACTTAAATTACTGAGTTCAAATTTCCCGAGACTTAGGACTTTTTTCCTAGGTTTTTCTTTTCCTCGGATATATTTTCTTCAGGACTTTTATTCCTGAGATCTTATTTCCTGAGACTTTATTGGCAGCCCCCATACTATTTTAGGAAAAAAAGTCCCAGGAATCCAAAACACAGGACTTTATTTCCAGTGACATTTTTTCCAAGGACTTGAGAAAATTCGAAATTTTTTGCATAGTTTTTATTTCCAGAAACTTTTTTTCCCGGGACTTTTTTTACATAGATTCCACTGGAAGCGAACAATAAAAAACCAGCCTACGAGGAGTAAAGAGAAGTTTTATCCGTACTTACACATTTTATCAAAATCGTCAAGGCCAAATCAGAGTACTTAAAACGTCGAAATGTCTTCGGTCGATTTTTATAGATCCAAATACAAAATGAGGATTTATAATGTATATATCAAACTCGATCAGTAGTGCATAAGATTTTTATTCAAGAATAATATTTAAACGATTATTACAATTTCCAATTTCAATTTTCTGCAGAATATATATCTAGAGATCATAGATATGTATATCTATATATGTATATTTCTATATAATAGATTCAAGAACTAAGTAAAGTTGCTCAAACAAATAATTCGTTTACAGAGTGATTTCCATTTTTTCAATTAAATGTGATGCAAAGTTTTGATGTTTACAGGTCTAGGATTATTTGTGATTTTATAAATTCTAAATATAACGAAATATAACAACGTTATAAGACGACTTTCGGAAACTTCACAGTGAGAAAATGGCGCTATACTGCGTACTGTTATACAATTTTTTGCGCCAAAACATCTGATCATATCATCACAATCTTCTTCTCTTTAGCTCAGTGATCGCTTAATTGACTTAGGCCATGTTTATCTCTTTGAGTTCCCTTTCTCTAGATGTTTCTCTAAAATAAAACAATACCAGAAGTGTTCTGCCAAAAACAATGAACAAAATTGTTAGACAAAATTAAAATTTGACAATGAAATTGAGGCTTTGACACAAAATCTAATTTTCTAATCCCTTTATCTTTGCAACCCAATTACATACCCTAATTGAAACTTCAAATTATGATTTCTGTTAGATCAAATAAACTACGATTAGAATATTAAAGATTTACACCATCAGGTTACAAAGATATAAATATTAGAAAGTTTAAGTTTGTGGCAAAGACTCAATCCCTTTGTATTTTTAACTATACTTTATCTAGGAATATGGATAGTTTATAAACTTAGTTTAACTCTTGACCTCAATTTTTATTTGAGCATGGGTTAAGATGTCGTCTTAGAAATAAATAGTTTTTATCCGAAGAAAGGTATTTTTATGAGAAAAATATTTATATCAAGGTTTTTCAAATTGGGAATTTTGATAGGAAGACGATAATTCCAACAATTTTTCTTATAGGTTACAATGAATCTATGTACATTGTTGTACATTGTACATAATTTCCTTACCTAAACTTGTCAGCAATGAATTTCTGCGTTGAAGGACCAGTTTCATTCATATCATCAGTTTCATTCTCATCATCCTTTAAACATTCATATCATCAGTTCCATTCTCATCATCCTTTAAACATTCATATCATCAGTTTCATTCTCATCATCCTTTAAACATTCATATCATCAGTTTCATTCTCATCATCCTTTAAACATTCATATCATCAGTTGCATTCTCATCATCCTTTAAACATTCATATCATCAGTTCCATTCTCATCATCCTTTAAACATTCATATCATCAGTT